GGCGTGTCGTGTGCTTCCATGGTGCCATTTCAAAAAATAAAAAGAAAATTAAGAGTAAGAGAACTGAGTTACCTGAACGGGTGACGGTTGATGAAGTCCTGGAAGTTCGGGTCAGTCGGCTTGTCAGAACAGGCGGTAGGCAGAAAAAGTCCGAAAATGTCAGAGCAAGTTCAGGGGTCCGAATGTTCTCGCAAAAGTTCTCAAATGTGAAAATGACCGAAGTCAGCACTTCCTTTTATAGGCAAAATGAGAAGGCGAAGGGTCGCTTCCAAATTCAAATTTGGGCGGGAAAATCTCTCGGCCGTCTGCAAGGTGACACCTGTAACGGGCCGTCGCCTGTCACCGTGCGACACCTGTCACAGGCGACACGTGACCAGTCGCGTGCCACCTGTGAGGGGCAAATGATTAGGGGATTTTTATCCACCAATCACCGTCTGACAAGTGGACCAACCAGGTTCCGCCACGTGTCCTTCACGAAGGCCAACAGGAGCTTGCCACGTGTCAGTCACAGATACGTCCTCCACGGACCACTTAAGACACGCCACGTGTCCACCCATGCCAAGTGGGACAACCGGCCATCAAGGCCCATTTCAGTCTAGAGGCCCGATCAGCCCTAGGTTTACCTTAAACCTAGAGAGTTGCACGCTTCCCAAGGCTATAAATACTCGATTAATCCTCATTAATCAAAAAACAACAAAAAAACAACCGAATAATTAAGAGATCAAGCAGAGAAGAACAGACTTATTAACAACCGGCTAATCTCGCTAACGACGCAGGTTACCAACACTAAGCACTCTCACCTAGAGAGATCTCATTACTTTACTTTCTGTATTGATTACTCCTTAATCAGGTACTAACTTGACCGTTGGAGGCGGAGCTCTCAGGAGTCTCCGTTATTTTGCAGGTACAGACGTCCGGTTCCAGTCTCGGAATTGTAACTCTCCCGCAGGACATCAGAAAACCCCGAAACACAAACCATTCAAAACATGATTTAAAAATCAATCATTCAAATACTTTTATTAAAATAAATACTTTCAAACATAATTTATTTCAAAATCAATTTAATTCAATCACCAATTAAATCATGTAAAACATGTTATTCAAACCAATTACTTTCAAAGGTATCTAGGCACCTAAACGTACCTTGATCCTTCACACAAAAAGAACCTCAAGAACCTTGATTGAACACACCCTACAAATAAATGTAACCTTAATCAATATAAGGTTAACAAATAATCACAAATAATTAAATTAAAACCTCCCAACTATATGTTCATGAACCTTTCAACATAAATATTATTAAAAATCTGATTTTATATAATTAAAACTATTCATAATAATTATTTATAAATCCCCCATAATAATAATAATAGTTGAATAAGAGAAGAGAATAAGAAAATATAAGAAACCAAGGAAAAGAGAAGAATTGGATTTGCGTTGGAAAGAATAGGCAGAACTTGCAGAGGCTATAACTCCTTTGATATAACTCCGAATTGTGTGATTCTTGAGCCTAACCTCAAGGATTTTTTGCGAAGAACAATATTTTATGAAACGTAAATACCCCAAAACTGACCAGAAATACCCGAAAATTGGCTTCAAAGATAAACGGGATGATTTGTGTAAAAAGAGGAGAAGAAAAGTAGAGAATTGGTGTGAATAAGTGGGAAGAATTAAGGGTCTATTTATAGTGTTGAGGGTGTAGAAAGGATAGAGCTTAAGGTGGAATGAGATTAGAATAAGAACATGATAAATTTACGTTTGTTGAATGAATTTGAGTAACATTTGGTCTAAATTAGTAGGTTGGTTAAAAGATAAGAAAAATTAAATGGATACACATATGATTGGGAGAAGGAAGATAGGAACAAAATGAGATATAGAATTAGAGGTTAAGTTATATAATTATTAACAAACTAAGGTGATAAAATCACTCTTAAAAACATGATAACTAACGTTCACAACTATTTTATTTATTTATTTATTTTTAAATAAAAACGAAAATCATAATAAAATAATTGAATAAATAAATATTTTAGATAATATCAAAATTAGTTAAATACAATAGTGTATATTAGATATTTCTCTTGAAATAGTTAGTATAATAAAGTACGAACCGACCTTAAAAAAAGATAATTAAACTATATTATTAATTTAGAAATCCGAAAATAATTAATTATTCAAATGATTAAATACTTATATTTGATGCCAAAATTCAAATATTATTTTGGCTCCAAATAATGATTTTACTATAATACCCTTTTTATAAAATAATTCTTAATTAATTAAATAGAAAATACGTATGAAAATATGGGGTATTACATGATTAGTCGAGTTGCACGAAGGTTTTTGATGAAATGACCGAGTGAAGGGAGAATTATAATAAAGAGAGAAAATAATGTGGAGTTTAAAGAAGGAGGTGGTTTCGGTGGGTGGGTCGGGTAGGGGAGGGAGTGGCCGGAATCAAAAAGGGGAGGAGAAGGGAGATGGTGGCCGGAATTGAGTCGGGGTCGGTGGCAGGGGCTGCCAGAATATGGGTTTGGGGTTTTTTTTTATTTTTTATATTATTTTATTTTTCTGTTTTTATTAATTTATTTTATCTTTATTTATTTATTTTTAATTTTTTTTACAGTAGGTTGACACGTGTCTAGTAACTTGTAATAACAGATTAGATGACCGATTAGGACCATTTAAAGTGGAAGAGATATAAAGGTCGGATCATTATAAAATAGTCGAAATGTGGGATTATTTTGGGCGAATGAGGCAAAGGTTTGATTATTCTAGGCAAGTTTTCCCTTTTTTTTTCTTAATAAATTAAATCATTATTTGATGAGATAATTATGAGCCCCACTTAACGGAACCCTAATGGATTTTGTTAAATGGTACTACATACCTTGTTTATGTTAAGTTCATTTAACTTAGCCGAGTCCGAGCATAATCTTGAGCTTTCAAGCGAGCTCAAAAATATGTTCAAGCTTGGTTCATATAGTACAATATATGTTCACGAACAACTCTTTTGTTAAATGAGTTGAGACGAGTGTTTCATGAACGAACTTAATAATAAACGAGCTTTAGTTGTACTTTTGACAATTTGAAAATCTCAAAAGTAGCATAATAATTAAATCTTAATTATAAACTTAAGAATTAAATTAACAGATGTGAATAAATCAATAATTCATGAAACATAAATAAAATGAGATGTTCATGAACATAAATAAATGAGTTCATGAACTTATTTGAAGATTCTGAACGAGCAAAGCATATCCATGTTCGTGTTCAATAAACGAGTTTTAAAATTTGTTCAAACTTGGCTCATAACCTATATACTAAAAGCAAATCTTTCCATGACACTTGTCATTACCTTGTGAAATTTGTTTGTTTTTTTTTTTTTTTTTTTTTTTTTTTTTTTTTTTTTGCAAAATCTTAAAGTAAACTATTTATACCTTATGTATTTTCTTTTCAGTTTGACAATCTTATTCCATCTATATCCAAATGAAATATTTTTGAATATCTTTTATACTTTATATTTTGTAATATTATTGCCAAAAATATTTAATAACCATGATTGCACAGGATTTTAACCTAGTTTATCAGGTAAACAGACATGGACGAGCTTCAACTGAGCTCGAACCCGAGTAGATTATTGATTGGCTCACTTCATTTACACCCCTAAGTAAAACCTATATTTTGTAACTTTTGGAGGTAGCAAAATAAAATAAGTTTTAGATAGGAAACAAAAGTCAAAACAAGGTATTTTGGTGGTAGCAAAACTCAAATTTTCCTAAAAAAAATCAATTTTGAATGAATGTTTGTTAATTGATGAGTGTAAGAGCTATCTAGGTTTAGTTATTGAACTTTTGTTAAAAGAAAAAAAAAAACTATTGAACTTGTGTAGAAAGTGAAACACAAATTCTCTAGGCGGATCGGATGTACATTAATTTACAGTAAGATAGGTTAAAGTTATAAAAAAAAATGTTTAAATTTAGGCCTTATTGTTTGGTTCACCTTATTTTTGCTTATCTGATTTGGTCTGTCTGATGTGATCTTATGTGATTTGGTCTGGTGTGATATGATCTGATTGCCTGATTTGATAAAACTTTGACCTTAAGTGTACGATAATCTATTAGGAAAAAATATATCAAGTGGGGTCTTGTTAGATTCGTAATAACGTGTATTTTATTATTATGCAATTTTCATAACTCTTTTCATTACAGAATGAAAGATAAATAGCGATACACACTACACATAAAACGATGATCTATTATGAACTTATTTTTTCTAATCTAATCTAGTCTAAACTTATTTTTTCTAATCTGATCTGATCTTATTTTTTCTAAAATAAGTAAAAATAAGGTGAACTAAACAATGCAAGGCCTTACTCTTTATACTACATATGTTATTTTTCTAATAATAAATTTTATTTTACAAAAAAACTTATAATGTATTAAGTTAATCATATAAGCCTTTATAATATGTAATTACGAATTTATAAGAAACTGGTTTTGTGTCCCGTACAATGCTCGAGTTGTTTACTGAACTTTAATACTTTTTTTTTTTATCTAAAATATATTTGGTATTTCAAATCTACCCATGGAATAATAATCACTTGACAATCATACTTGTAAAATTAAAAATCTAGTAATACCGCTCTTAAAGATGTGGGTGGTTTTAAGAAAGAGTTTGGGTTGGTATTGAAAGTGACGCAAGTAGCATGATTATAGAAAATATTGGTACCTTATAGAAAATAAAATTCTAAATCAAAAGTTTTATCGAAAATAAAACTCTAAAATAACTTTTTTATCCTACTAAATAAATCTATCCAAATTTTATTGAAAATAAAACTCTTAAATAACTCTTTAACCTACCAAATCTATCCAACCTTTTTATCTTGTTCAAAAATATTCAAATAAATTCTAAGTAAAGTTGGAATGTTAATTGTCGTTGTCTTTCAGTGAAAGTGAAATTTCATCAATTATGTCGTATGAGAGGGTATTTAACATATCACAAAGAGTCAAAAATTTTTAATCGAAAAGAAATTTTCCATCTTCATCGATTAGTTTCCCTACTTCAAAACCAAATTTAACACTGTCTTTCCTTAATTTTCTCTACCTATTTTTTTCCTTTACTTTTTTCTTTTTTCTTTTTCACTTGCTAATAAATTTCACTCCTTTATTACGAAAATACCCCTATTATTTGTGAAGAGTATAACAACTGTTATTGAATAAAAACGACTCCGTTTTCCGCTGCGTCGCTAGTTTTCGCTACACCCCTCTCCCCTTTCTCTCTCTCCACCATTGAAGCGAACTCTGAATTCTCCATTGAAGCGGCTTCTGAGCTCTATTTCCTCCATTGAAGCAGCTTCTGAGGTAAGATTTCTCTTTTTTCTTTTCATTATTAATTGAATATTTATAAATTCACAATCTTGAATTTTATTTCAATTTAATTTTTCAGTATAGTCAATTTAGGGTTCTTCCAAGGTGAATAATTGAACTATTGATTATGATTGGTGAAGTTATTAAAAATTGTAATGATTGATTTCGTTGCTAGAATTTTGATATGAATTTAAGCGAGAAGAATTTAGGGCGATTTTCGAGCCGAATTTGATAATTTGAGTCAAATCTGGTTGCTAATGTGTTGCAGGATTTTGATTATATAACCCTTTAATGTTAGGTCAAAATTATGAAAAAAATGAAAATGGACATGTTTTCCATGGGTCCAGGGCGCCCGCCCGTCATGCCCTGGATTGGGGACGGTCCTGAGTATCGGCATGCTGTGGAAACCACGGCCGAGTCGGAGGGTTTTGGGAGTTCGGGTCGGGTAGACACGGAGATGACGCTTTCTGAGGATTCGTGTTCTCCAAAGAGGAAGCGTATCAGTTTAAATGGGGATAGTCATGATCAGTTTGGGGTTCCTATGCAAGTTTTGTCATTTTCAAAGATGTCGAGATTAGAAAGGAAGGATTTGGAGGTTCGGTTGAGGAGGGAGCTTGAAGAGATTCGGATTTTACAGAGGAGAGTTGCATCGTTTAGTACGGGTGCTGCTGTTTTATCACCAGCGAGTGACATTCGTAGTTGTAGTGATGGGCAGAAGAGGCCTCCACTCGAGAATCCTCTGAGACGACCTGAGCATCCAGTTCAGGGGAAGAAACAGTCTGTAGGTCGTAATGGGGCTCGTGTGAAAAAGGGGTTTTCTAAACAAATTGATCCTCCAAAGCAAGTCACATCAGTAAGTACAGCTAACCCTATGCTGATGAAGCGATGCGAAAACCTCTTGAGTTGGTTGATGGGACATCAGTATGGTTGGGTTTTTAATGAACCTGTTGATGTTGTCAAGCTAAATATTCCTGATTATTATACTGTGATAAAGCATCCCATGGATTTTAGTACAATCAAAAACAAGTTATCTAGAGGGGAATACACTAATCCATTGGGCTTTGCATCAGATGTTAGGCTTACTTTTTCAAATGCGTTGACATACAATCCACCTGGAAATGATGTTAATTTCATGGCCAATGCACTTAGTAAATCTTTTGAGCAGAGGTGGAGAGCAATTGAGAAAAAGGTCCCAACCAATACAGATGCTCAGGTATTGCCTTCTCACTTAAATGCCCCCATACGGAATGAACCAACAGCCCATCATATTCCACCTTCTAAGAAAAAGAAGGTTGCTCCTGTGGGATATGTAGGGAAGCCAGAGCCTATTAAGAAGGTCATTACAGTTGATGAGAAACATAAATTGAGCACGGAATTAGAGGCATTAATTACTGAATTGCCAGATACTATAATCGAATTCTTGAAAGCAAATAGTTCTGCTGATGGGCAAGATGGTGAGGAGGAGATTGAGATTGATATTGATGCTCTCAGTGATGATGTGCTATTTAAGCTACGAAAATTGTTAGATGACTTCCTGTTGGAGAAAAAGAAGATCGAGGCAAGGGCTGAGCCCTGCGAAATGGAGGTACTTCTTTATGCTGTATCCTATTTATGGGTTCAAATTCTTTATTTACTATTTTTTTCTTTTTTTGGAAAGAGCTTACTCCTAGTTTGTCTCCCCCTGTCATGTGTTTGTGACTTATGACAGTTATGAGCATCTGATTAAAACACTGTGACTTTTTGTGCATTCTGTGTAACAACTGCGATGTTTATATGATTTCTTTCTTGATTTCCTCTCTTTGTTACAGTTACATAATGAATCCGGGTTTAGCAATTCATCTATTCAAGCTGGAAAAGGTATTTCTGATTTATTTAGAAGGATACTTGGATAAAATGCTAATATAGGAGTGAGTCCTTTGTTTAACTATTTAATTACTTTATTTGTTGCTCTGGATGGTTCATGTCTCAGGCAATGATGCAGTTGATGAGGAAATTGATATTGGAGGTAGTGATCATCCTATTTCAAGCATCCCTCCAGTAGAGACAGAGAAAGATACAGCCAATAAGAACAATAGATGCAGTAGTCCAACCAGTTCCAGCAGTGACTCAGGTTCATCATCTAGTGGTTGGTCCTTTAGTTAACTTTTTTTGCTTTGATTCCTTTGCAAGAGCTCTTTATTGTATATTATTGACAGATATGAAAGGATGTACTATCCCATATGCCCATAGAATTATTTGGCTAAAACCAGCAAACCTTCATGGCTTTGTTTATGCTTGCATTGTATTTATAACCATATTCTTGACCTACTCCATCCTTTTTTCTAAATCTAATTTATTTATTTTAGGCTTTTCCACATACATTAAGAAAACTAGTCAGGTGGCCTTTAAAGTAGTTAAATGTGTGCTAAATGACAAGATGTACAGAGTGATAAAAGGTAGTAAGAAAACGTGTTGGAATTTTGGGAGAAACTGGTTGATGTGATGGAGAGAGAACTAGTAAGAGAAATTAGGATACACTTTATATTAGCAGGGGTATGGGGAGCCTTTTTCCAAAGTAGGTTAGTAGAAGATAAAATTGGGAAATCTTAAAATGGCATTGTAGAAGATGAGTCTAGGGCAGTTGGAGATCTATTATGTTACCATTGATACCTTCTTCAATTCATTTTGATTTAGTTTAATGCTAATGTTGCTAGGAATTGCTCACTTTTAATTATTGCTTTTGTACAAAATTTAATTATTCTTCTCTAAATCCTCTCTCTTAAGTCATTGTTTTCTTACACTTGGAATTTGCGGATGTAGCTATTTAGGGTCCAAGGTAGGTCAGCTTCCGACCAAACAAACAAAATTTTATCTAAAAATTTAGTGATTGCAAATGACTATGTCTTAGAGGAATGATAACCTTAAGATGTATGAGTATATGAAATGCTTATCAACAAAAGTAGTAGGATGGCTTTTCTTGATTATGTATAATTCTAGCTTCTAATTTACGGGTAAACATAATACTACCTCCTATTCTAAAAAAAATTTACATTTATTGTTTGCATAATAATTAATGCAATTGGAAAGAAAAGTTGATGTGGTAAATGGGTGAAAGAAAAATGGTGTATGATCTAAAAGGTGAGTGGGTATACAAAAAAGGTCGGTGAAGTAAGAGAGAATGAGTGAAACAATGTAAATATTATAGGTTAAAAGGGTTAAGGTAATGAGGATTTGTTCTCTTCACCATATTTAAGGGGTCCTTATTTGAATTTTTAAAGTTCTAGTTTGGTCTCGTCTTCGGTCAGAGTTATAATGTTTATGATATTGTTTGATTTGATTTGGATTTTTCTAGGTGTGGTCCGATTATATGAACAAGTAATAAGAATGAGGTGAAAAGAATAAAACCTAAAAGGGGTTTGCCAAGATTGGAATAAAGTTAAAATGTTAATTTTTTTTTGAAATGGACAAAAAACGTAGTTCAAAATCTTTCAGAAAGGAGGTAGTATAATTTGGACTTAGTAACATAAAGTTCCAAAATATTTCAGAAAAGAGTTAGTATAATTTGGACTTAGTTATAGGATACTAAAATAATTGTACTATATTCTGAATATGGGAATGTGATATTTATATATCCATGTGTGAGGTGGACTCATTTTTGTCATTGCTAATGCTTGCTTTGCATTCCATAATTTAATGCACATCTTTTGTCCACCTTATTCCTTCTTTTTGGGAATGTTTTCATGTCACTGTGTCTATGTGAGTATGTGGGGATGTAGTGTGGGGGAAGAGTGGAGTTATATCTAGATATTGTTGCCTTGTGATGGTTTCATTTGGTTCTGGAATGGAATAGATTGGGAACTAATACTTACCTTGCTAAATTGTTTGGTTTGAAACTTAAATGGGATTATACTTAGAGTGGAATGGATTTAGAGTCATAGGGGTGAGGTGGGTATGATTGTAGGGGGTTGGAATGGAGTTTGATACCACTGCTATGAGGTTCCATGGCAGATACTGCTCAATCAATCATTTAATTATTAGAATGGTGCCTGCTCTATTCCAATGTGTCAATCACTTAAACCAAATACCCGTTTAATATGTTTCATGTGTTGGGCAGTTATCTTCAAAATTCATGCTGGTAGCTTCTTTGCATTTATCATTACTTCCTTGGAAATCTAGGAGGGTCACTGTGCCAGTGTGGCAATGATTTAGAAGCTTTTATCAGATGTGCAGGTTACTGAATTACTGGTATATGAGTTGATCAATGTTTACCTTCTGTACATTGTTAAAATCTCTCAACAAGAAACGCTTTCAATTTGCTTATCATTATATGCCATTGTGGATGTTGCTGGCCAGTGATCTTCTTCAAGAAATTGTACTGTGTTTGTATTTGTTCATGTATCGAATGGGCAATGCCTAAGTGATATGTGTGGAAACTAATATATTTCTTCTGATCTGAGCATGTTTTTGTACTATTTTGTTGTGTTTGGCTCTGTGCATATGTAACTGCTAAATATGTCTAGTTTAATTTTAATTAGGTACAAATGCTGAATTGGGACCACAGTAATTAGGATAGAGCCTCAGTAGATTCAAAGTCTAGATTTTTCTATCTGATATCTTATTTGAGGAATTTATATGATTTCAATTGTGATAAGCCACGATTAGGATTTTTGGTATCAGCATAGCACTCCATTTTATTCTTAATTTCTTATCAACCTTTTGAGAGTTTGGTTTGGTTAATGTCCCTCAAGCTTGCAGTGGACTTTGTATAGAAAAATCTGCGGTAGTTTTGGGGAAGCATCAGAATTAAAGGCAATTAAGGAAGAGCAATGAGATGTGAAGTGTGGTTGGTGTATCAATATTGCTTCTAGATATGAGTAGATTTATCTGGATTTTGTTGGAATGACTAATGCTGATGGATCTAGTGAGTGTTGGGTGGAAGATTAGAAAGGTGTGATGTGTGTGTGTGTTTTTTGGGGGGTTGGGAGGGTTATTGTTTTAACTTTATGTTTATGTTATTCCTAAGCAATAGTAGAAACTAATAATTAGCTCTTTGTTGCTATCCTGCTAACATTTTAGTATGATGTTTAACATTAGAACCACTAATTGACCATAGCTGAAAGTGCTGACTCATGTACCATGGAACGTATGGATGCATTTTGTTTTGGATTGTCATTTTTAGCAGAAATACCCTGTCATTAACTCATTATTAGACCAGTGAAACAGAACATACGCTAATCTTCCCGACTTGTACTCTTGATTTAATGATCATGCTGGGAGATACCATGTTTTGACATGGACACAATGATGGTTAAGTTTGACTGACGTTAATTGGATGGTTACTTTTATTTGGTTGTTGAATGCGATGACATTGACAATCTGTGAAGTACTTTAGCAGTTTACCCTACAGATTTCTTCTTGATCTAATAGGGATGTACAATCCTGAATTTTCTATTGCTGGAATTTTTGAATTGGCTTGCTGATGAACTTTAAATTAGCTTGACCCATGTCCTGTGGGTTCTGATTTTCTGAAGCAGAAAGCTGCTGTGGATAATTTTGGCAATAAACCTTGAATAATTAATGGGTTGTGAAATACCGGCCCATCAATTGAGTTATCATGTGCAATTGTGATAGGGTTAATCAATCATTGTTCGGGAAGCATATCTATTTTTTAGTACGTCGTAACTGTTGTTGATTGTGGAAGGAGATAGCTTATGTATCTCTCTTCGAAGAACGAGTTAAATTTGTGCTCCTAGCTTTACTTTCAAGTTTCAAAATTTGAAATATGGTTGTGTTGGTGAGTTTATGTGTACTTCTGACTTCTAAGCTTTGTCTTGTGCCTGGTGTGTATGGATTTCCTTTGGATTGATATCATGTTAAGTGGTTCCTTTGTACACGTCTCTCTTTGCCTTTGAGAAATTGTACCCACACTTTTTTCCATCCGTATTCCGTACTATACGGGAAACAGTCTAGCAAGCTTCCTCATGAGACCTAACTCGTGTGTTTTGAAAGAGTTGAAGTTCTTTAAGACGGTGGGATCCTAGGGCTTACATATGAGACAAGAGAAAAAGGACACACACCTAAGGATGAGGAAGGGTTGGTTTTTTTCTTTCTATTTTCTTCTTCTTCTTTTTTTTTTTTTTTTTTTTTTTTTTTTTTTTTTTTTTTGAAGTTTTACTGGACCATTCTTGATAATATGGGATTAAGCCAGAGACCTTGCCCGAGGAGTACGGAATTGAGAAAGTTACGTAAAGTTCATAGTTTTATATTAGTATTCACTGATGGATTTATCCTGAAATCATTATTTTTTTGTCATGAAATTGACCATGGATAGTTTCTTTTTTCTTTTATTTCAATTTTTTTTTTAATTTTTTATTTGGGAGTATTGAATACATCCATAATTATGAGCTTTTTTATTTTTATTTGGGAGTATTGAATATATCCATAATTATGAACTTCATGCTCCTCCTTCCAAGAGATATGTCCAAGCTAGGGCACCCTCTTTGTAGATGTCTATTGCCTTTTAGTTAATGTGTAATTGCACACAATTGATATTTTTATTCAATGCTTTCCAAATTTTCAACAGAACCAGGTATAAGCTTTTTTCGTGTTCTAAAGATTGAATTTTTAGTGACATACACTGGACTCAGATTATTATCTGGTGGAGAAAACAAGACCAGCTTTGGCTTGGGTTTGAGGAATGAGAGACAAGTGTAATGCTGCTAAGTCTCATATAGTCATATCTGATTAATAATGAGAGGTATTATTGATTTGTGAGAGATGTAGCCTAAGAAAAATAGTTAGGCCTTTTATAGGCCTAGCTTTCTCACCAGTGGTTGTGCTGTTGTTTGGTTTCTTAAGATTCAGTTGTTCAATTTAAGAAACCCGGAGCTTTTCCTAAAAAACTCTTATGGTTCTAAAATATAATTGATGAGAGGAATTATATATATGATTTTTATAAAAGCAAATTATGAAGGACCTTGCTGGTGAAATCTCTGTCAAAAGAAGCATTGTGTATTCCTGTTTTAGAAGCATACAGACACCAGCTAATTCTAAATTCTTTTTATATAAGCACTCAACAAGGTGAAGTTGTTGCCCAACTTGTGCTTAGTCTTTTTCCAAAATTCATTTCTGATATATTGTTTGGCAGCAAGTTTTATTGGTGATTTTATTTTTATATGGTAGCTGCTCTTGGGTGGCTCTCTTGTGTATGTTCAAGTTAAGAGACTATATGGTTTCAGTAATTTGTAAAGCCTTCTATATCGTTAAGAAAACTCACATGTAGTGGGGGCAGTCACAAGCTCACAACCATATCTATTGGTGCTTCATGATTTGTTGAGAACTGGTGAATATGATGCAATGAGCGACCCATATTTTTAGCTTCTACTATTGTGTGGGAAACTGATATTTTGCTTCTGTTAGCTATTGTCATTCTTAGCGTATTCTATCTTTTAACTTACTGTCAAAATTTTGCTTTTGGCACTTTACCCTTTTTACTTAAGTGATAAAATTGTTTGTATATGATACTCTCGCCCACGTTAATGTGTTTGCTTCATTGATTTTCAGATTCAGATTCAGGCAGTTCTAGTAGTGAATCTGAAGGCGCAAAAGCTTTACCTCCGGGTAACAAGCTGCAGGTACATTTGTAACAACTATTCTTGTATGTTATGATGAGTTCTGTGATTGTTTCTTCTTATATCATCAATTCCTTGTCATCATATTTCTTAATGTCATAAAATACAACACCCCCCCCCCCCCAAAAAAAAAAAAAAAACAAAAGGGAAATTGTAGTGAAATATGTTTTGGTGTACTTATGTCTATTTGCATCATTGGTAGCCAACTGCGAATGCCAACGAAAATGCAGACCAGAATCGAAGTGACATTGATCAAGAAGCTGGGATAAACCGTGAGTTTCTACAAGCTTGCATATGTTCCTTTGATAGAAATAGAGTACAAGCTTATGGATATGATGCCCTTTGAGTTAATTGTGCATTACAATTTTTTTTTAATTTTTATTCAGCTCTTATTTTTATCTTATTCTGAAGTCTTGATTTTATGTGGTACAGAATCTAGGAGCAGCTTGAGCCAAGTTGAACAAAGTTCCCAGACTAAGCCTCTGTCAATTGAGGTGGATGGTCATAAAGAGGGTAAGCATGAAAATAAATCATGATCAGAAGAGTGTGCTGTTAGTTTGAGTTGCTGTCTTACCCCTTGAGCTGTAACGTGTTAGGGGAGAGTGCTCCATCTGAGAGGCAAGTCTCCCCGGATAAGCTATACCGTGCTGCTTTACTGAGGAGCCGATTTGCTGATACAATCCTCAAAGCTCAAGAGAAGACTCTTGAAAAGGTGCCATGAATGCTTTGCTTTAGTTTATTTTTTTGTGGTTCTGTTGTGCTTGGTGTCATATATTGTGATATGCTACTTTATACAGGGTGAAAAGCGTGATCCAGAGAAATTGCGGTTGGAAAGGGAAGAGCTTGAGAGAAGGCAAAGAGAAGGTTTGACACTATTCCTTATATTTTGAGCTTGCCTTACTGGTTTTATCTAGCTTTGGGCCTGTGGCCTTTCAGTCTTAATTATGTCATGATAGGTAACTGTCTTGTTTATGTCAATCAGAAAAGGCTAGACTACAAGCAGAAGCCAGGGCTGCAGAAGAGGCAAGAAAGAAGGCTGAAGCAGAAGCTGCGGCGGAAGCCAAAAGGAAGAGGGAATTGGAGAGGGAGGCTGCACGTCTTGCTTTGCAGAAGGTACGATGATCATATGGTACATGGTAGCATGTTGAAAATTTATGCTTTGATGCATTTAGTTGTGGACCAAAAGAACTTGAATCACTTGAAAAAGTTCTACTTCCTACATCCTGTTTTGTTGGAGGCTTATCACCATTAAGGGTTTGCATAGTTGTCATGTCTGATTAAATATTGACCTGCAGTAGATATCTTATGCTTACAATTGTGAAATCTCTTAGGCAGTGTTTGGAAACAATAATTTCATTTCAAATTCTATATTTCAATTCTGGAAATTTAAATCCTTGCTTTCAATTCCAAATTACTTTTTTGGGAAAACAATAATTTTAAATCCAGAATTTCAAAGTATCCATTGTGTTTGGCAATACTTTAGAATTTTAATAACAAATAAATTTAACTAATAACTAGTGTGTAAAACTCCTCAATTTTTCAATAATCAAAACAATAACCTTCATCATCATCAATTCCGAAAATCTTCTACTCACTTCTTATCCAAAAAAATGGTTAATCATATCCAGACTTGAGATTTTGTAGCCCCAAACCCACTGATATACATAGGATCTGACGATTTCATTAACCCGTCGTCGAAGCCGCCGTCATTAAAGGCGAAGGTGGTGGAGGAAAGATAGAGACTGCTCAATGGAGGAGAGAGAAAGAAAGTTGATGATAGTGCGATAAATGTTTGACGAACTTGACGAGCTTTTGACGAACATAAATATTTTCATCATCATGAAGGAAAGGATTTGATGAAAGGGATGAACTAGTATTAAGTATATACAATAGGTGTTTGAGTATTGGGGCTGGGTTAGGTTGGGAATTCCAAATGACATGTTTTGACTCATTATTTCAAATTTTTAGTTTTATGAAGTTTTCTTAAATATTTCAGAATTTGGGCTAAATTCAGATTTCAAATTCCAACTCATCCAAACACTATAATTAACCCAATTCCAGAATTTCAAATGAAATTCAGGTCTATTCAAAAAAAAAAAAAAAAAAAAGAAAAAAAAAAAGAGAGAGAGAAATTCAGGTATCCAAACAGAGCATTATGTCTTTGCTGCATATACTATATGACACAGTGCCTAGCATGTCATAACTGAAAATTTAATATTTTCCAATTCTAATTCATTTAGCTCTGAAAATTCCTGTATTTTTATGTTCAATCACATGATCTTTTTGGCATCATACAGATGGAAAAAACAGTGGATATCAATGAAAATTGTCAGTTCATGGAGGATCTTGAGATGCTCAGTGCTGCTCCCCCTGATGATCTGTCTAGTTTTATGGGCGATACCAGCCCAAATAATTCTCAAAATGGCGGTCTGGGTAGTTTCAGATTCAGGGGAAATAGCAACCCCTTGGAACAACTTGGGTTATACAGAAAAGATGACGATGAAGAGGAGGAGGAGGTTGAGGCCCCACAAAATGCTACAGATTCAGCAGCAAACGATGTAGAGGAGGGGGAAATCGATTGACTAAGACCTTAAACTCTTCCCAAGCGTGCCAGTATTTCTAACTCAAATGGAGGACTGATTTCCATAGGATGTTGGGATACGGTTCGTTCATTTGTCTATCTCTGCTTTGGAGCTTTTCATGAACAGTCAAATGGAAGCAGAGTTTAGCTCGTTAATAGTTCAGCTACGAGGCCCCTTGGATAATCTTGGTTTAGCTTCGATTTTACAGTGTTGGAGGTTATTTGTCATTTGTGCAAAAACCTACATAAAAAAAGTAAGCTGTGGCATTCATTGTCAGGGTGAAGGTAGCTCAGTTAATCAGGCTTTTTTTGCCCTTTATTTTTCCTGTAAAAAAGCAAAATTATTATGTAACGTGAACCATGGCACTGCTCCAGAATCAGGGGTTTTTAGTACATGTTTGGCACTGCATTAGAATCAGGGTTAGTACATGCATGCCTGCTTTATAACCGCGGGACTTAATTTATCGAACCTTAATTGTTCATACACTCAGCAAACAGAAGGGGGAAAAAAATATTCGATCTTTTTTCTGTTAAACTCTCAAACTCGCAAGTCCTAACTTCCCATGTATTTGCGATTTTGCGTACATCTTTGAAAAAAAAATGAGGCATTTTTAATGGATACTTGGTGAATGTCTTGGGTTATGCCATGGGTAGCTGGTTGTTTACTTATCTTTGAATATCATATTGTAGTGTTTACATATTTGTTAGACAAATTTATCGTAGTCTATTTTAAAATAAGCTATAACTGTATTGAAGTTTTTTATACTAGTATATTCTAATTTGATTTTTTGTATTCTTTATTACCCTTTTTGGATTATTCATACATAGTGATCTATACAGTATATTAGTATAGCTGTATGTTTTGCATTAATTTTAGTTAGGGATTTTATCACCGGTACCCTCAATGATTTGACTTTTATCAATGGTGCACCTCATTAAGTTTTCATTATCAGCGGTGCCCCTAATATTTTCACCTAATTGCTACAGTGATCATATTTGATTTAAACGTTTAGTAAACGTTAAGTGTGGGTATTTTGTGTGGAATATGTCAGCAAGTGAGTTTACGATAATGCCCTCCCAGTCATTAACTCTCCCTCCAAGCCCAACTAACATCATTTATCACAAAAAAAAGGCAAAAAAATTTGATCGTCCAACTTCCATACTCTCTCCCCTGTTCTTAAGCTCGCATGAAAGCCCTAATTGAAGCAAAATTTGTGGAGAATTGCTTTGACAAATTGCGGATTAAGGTTAATACTTAACTTCGATCTTGATTTTGTGAATTATTTTGTATAAACTCTTGTGGTCATACTTTCTTTGGAATTTGTACAACATTGTCAAGTAATCAAATAGGAAAGACTGGACCATAATTTCTGAACCAGCAGAAGACATTGAAATGTATGAGATTATAAGAGGAAGGAAGAGAAGAGAAGAGAAGAGGGGAATTCTAAAGCAGCAGAGAAAATAAATGGGAGATAGAGGAAAGAGGGAAAAATCGAAAAAAAAGAAGGGAAAAGGAGAACATATTTTTGGAGGGAGTTTTTAGGGAAGGGGCATTTGAGTATTTACACTTTCCTAACCCATTAAACCAACCAAAAAAAACCCCAGTTAACGTTTAATTAACGTTTTAATAACATATGATCACTGTAGCAATTAGGTGAAAATATTAGGGGCACCGCTGATAATAAAAACTTAATGAGGTGCACCATTGATAAAAGTCAAATCTTTGAGGATACCAGTGATAAAATCCCTTTTAGTTATTGTTATTATACAAAACCCAATAGTCTTGCAAATACGAGTATCACAAAAACAAATGAAAAAGATTAAACGAATCTCTGAAAGACAAACTTATTTGTGTGGTGTAAAATAGAGTAGCCTAGCACAGCATCCTCATCCTTGTTTAGACTCTTTGATTAGATCTGCGGAATAGGCCCATACTTCAACATTTTTGTTGCCAAAATAAGACTGCTACTGCTTTGGGTTTTTACGTTGTTAATTTTACCCATCCCACCACAGCATTTCAGAAGAATGAGGGAAGGCCGTCGTTGACATTTTTAAAACGGTTTTTTCTATTTTTAGTGTCTCACCAATTACAAAAAAAAAAAAAAAAGAATTTCTAGGGTTTTTCTACTAGAAAATAGAAAAATTGTTGATGATTTTAGCGTCTCACTGATTGTGTTGTTTGAGACAAATCCAAAGCTTTGTATCACAATTTTCCCAATAATATGTGTCCACACTCTATAGTGTTCCCATCATTTGGGACGTCGGATCGGCGCAACAAACTAAACATGTCTTGTTTTACACATTTGGGTTAGTTTTTTGTGATTTTATTGGGCATTTGAGTGTATTGCGTTTGGGTTAGCATTTTGTACTGGAGGCTTAGAGGCTAAATGTATTTGATTCTCAGGCTTTTTGGTTTTGGGCTCTATTTGAAATGCTTAACGTTTGGCTATTTATAATTTCTAAACGGATCTTCATGCAATTCATTATCCTAAGCGTGATTCAAACCGAATTATGTGATATTTACATTTCAGTCATCGTTTTGCTTGAGGAGTTGGTGTCTACATTGATGAGCTGTTTAATTGCAAGCCCAACTATCACCATGTCTAACATCGGACATGGATTGGGGATTTGGGGGCAAGTTATATGATATGATTAGGCACAAATTCTTAAAAAAAAAAAAACACGGAGGTGCGTTAATTTATTATAAAACGGGGTAAAATTATATTTAAAGTAGTTAAAGTTACCCTTTATACAACAAAAGTTAATATTTTTTTATTAATAAATTTTATCTTATAAAAAAAACTTATAATGTATTAATCATATTAGTCTTTATAGTATGTAATCAGGTATATATAAGATATCACACATTAAAATAAATTCAAACCAATGACAAATTAAAAGTTACCCCCTCATTGGTTAACATTACCATAGAAATAGGTGGTGGTTATTTTTTTATTGTTTTAGAGAGCCACAAGGGCGGGGGTGAGAATCGATCCCATGGTCTCTTGAAACCGGGAGGGAAGCATAACCACTTGAGTTATTTCTCACTCTATGTTATTTTTTATTTTTATTTTATTTTATTTTTTTGACAGAACCATAAAAATAGTTAGAATTATACTTGAATTGACCGTTTTACAATAAAATTAATGTACACCCATTTATTTGCGTGTATATGTCCCCCTCCCTAACTAAGGTCTTTTTTTTTTTTTTTACTTCAAGCTTAATATTTTACGAAAAAATTGTTTATTTGCTACTCCCTTCGTGTTATAACGGCCGTATTTTGAATAAGTGTTACACTTTCTTTTTTGGAAAAAAACTACATTAAAATATCATCTCCCTCCTTTCATGGTCCCCACCCAAACCTGCTACTACTTTTTTTTTAATATATCTTTCCTCTCACATTCATTAATTTTCAATAAAATATTAACTCCACTATCTTGCTTTTACAATTTTTTAATGCTCCAACTACCCCACTTACCTCTTACTTTATTTAAGTCAACTAAATTGCCTAAAACTATATGCCGGCCAAACTGTAACACTTAAAAAAACACGGAGGGAGTATTTATATTTTTATAGATGAGAAAAATATATTAGGGCTTAATTAGTTATCAATTACGGAGTTATATCATTCTTAGTACTTTTTTAAACACAGTTTGATTCATAAATAAATAGTCATACGACATCTACAAAGAGATTTAAATCTAATAAATACATGACAATCGAATCAAATGAAAAAAAACTTTCAACAGAGTTACGATCGTTGTTGCAAATCCTACATTCTTTGTACCCACATTCATACCAATTTAAGAAAAAGAGAGGAAACGACTAAGGTTTTTTTTCCGATTATTTATCATTCTTAGTACTCACAAACTAAACGTCGTATGTCACCTTTATTTATTATTTGGTGCCACATGTGCGTCATGTGTCATCCTATATGTATCATCTTTTTCTTAATGCATTGAATTGTAGTGATGTGTAATTAATTTGAAAAATTCTTCATTGGTGTAACTTTAATAATGTTTAATTTACTTGAAAAATTCTTCATATGCATAACCTCCATGTTTAAATTTGACTTATTTTATCATAAATTAATGAAAGATAATATAGATTATTTTATTTTTTACTCACTTATTAATATTGTTCAACATTAACCCTTTTTATTAATTTTGATCAAACTTATAAATTTACGATGTATCGGGACATCGTCGGGCCAATAACTAGTTACATCCTTAACACACAATAAATAAAATGAAATAAAATATGATTTTCATTTAATTTATTGATTAAGGGCCCAATATTTTCGTCATGTCTCAGGGCCTCCATTGAAATTGAGACACGGATGTTTAATACTTCCTCCGTTCTTTTTTTATTGCACTATAGGAGGTTGGCACAAGATTTTTGGTAGTAAAAAAAAGGATGAGAGCGAGAGGTAAAAATACAAGGTTGCCCATGTGATGGTATACATAAACAAAAAAAATTAAGTGTTGAAAAGTAAGAGTATATTTGGTATTTGTAGTGTGAACACAAGTATTTCTTTTTCTAAAATAGAAATGGTGCAATATTTGTGATACTCCCTCCGTTTCAATTTGTTAGTCCCATATACTATTTTGGGCGTTTCAAAAAGATATACCCATATTGAATGTATTCCACTTTTAACTTAGTTTTTATTTTCTATTTTATCCATATTAAATTCTGATTGGTTAGATTAATTGATTGTGAATTAATGACATGACTCTAAGTAAAGAAATTACTCCCTTGATTTGTGCAAATATGACTAAAGCTTTCCTAAAAAAATAAAATAAGGCAAAACTATTTATGAATTGTTTTTTAATTTAATGTTAGATTCCAAATATTATCCTTTTCTTATTTTATGTGATTGATTCCATATGAGACTATCATATTGAAACGGAGGGAGTACTTCCTTAAAAGACAAGTAGTGCAATATTAAAAAAAAGGGAGGAAATATCTTGATTTTTGAAGAAATATTTAAGGTCATTCACCTCATTTTCATTTTGTTTGGGCCTACTCCATCTCTTAAGCCCATTATATTTGAAATGACAAAAACACCCCTTCATAATCCAGCTCGTCATCCTTAATCATCATAAAGTGCAGATTTACCCCTAATCTGTTCAACAATGTACGGTTTTTCCACCTGAAAGTACATTTATAAATAGCAAGCAATGATTAATGATGGTAAGTTTTTCTAATATCTTATTCTCTCTCTAAAAAGTACATTAACTGACTTGAGTGTTGAAGGGGGTTTTTGTGGGTCAAACCCCGGGGCAGCTTACCTTATCGTTCTTGCAGGCAGAGCTCTTAGACATCCTTGCAAGGCGAAGACCGCTTACATTTGGACAATAGACATTGGTCATACCCTAAATACCCTTACACAACGAGGAGAATTCTCTTCCCAGAAGCACATTTATTTCTAGAAAGTTGATCTTGAGATTAATGCTAATAAGTTCAAATTATAACTTCAGCAATATAAAGATTTAATAGGTTCAATCGATAAGAGTTCATATGAGTCCATACATGTTCAAGTAAATTTAAATGAGTTCATATAAGATCTAATAAATTCTATAAGTGAAAAATAGATGAATAAAATGCAGATTGATTCTTTACTTATTTATCACGTTAATTCTTTAAT